ACTTCAACTTTAGAGCTGATAACCAAAGAAAAAAAAATTCACTTCGTTGTGGTTGGACGCATCAACGGATAGTAAAATTAGTCAATGCAAACTACAGTTCTCGCACTGTGCCCAGTTTATACCAGGAAATACTTGGATATTAAGATTTTATTTTCTGTTACTAATCAACAACCTATCATGCCATTACGTCAAACCGGAATCCTACCAGTACCAGTATTTCAAATTTGTGTCCAACATCTACACAATAGATGTGTAGCGTACCGGCAGTCTATGGAATAATTATCCAAGTCAGAATATCTTCCAATATGATCTGACGTCAAGTTTCCCCTCAATATTCACTTCAATTTATGCTATTTTATTCATTTATTAATTATCGATCTTAATACAACCAAATACTACAAAGCAACGGAAAGCATATAATAAAAACAAGAGAGCTGTGCTCAAATATATGGACACGTTAACCAGAGCGAAGCAGTATTTACCTTTGACGGTTCCCGTACATTTGAACCCACGTACATTTGAACCCACGACAATTGCACCTGCATACTATTGCACCTATGGAAATTTTTTTTGTTTTGTGGATATTTGAATCCATACCAACCCTAACCCATGGGTTTTAGAACCTGCATATAGATTGAACTCGCGAATATACACATGGGTTCAAATGTACGTGGGTTCAAATGTACGGTCACCACCTTTGTCGCCACCGGTACCCACAAAAAATTCCGAGTTTCGCGTAGAAATAATTTACAGAATCAACCCGGACAGCCAGTGTTCCCATGGATAAAATAATACAGCGAAATTTTAGACGAAATATCAGATTTCATGCGAAATTTAGAAATAAATAAATAGCCTTCTGGCAAAAAAATCAATCTTTACTCACTGAAAATTTCAAAGCAATTGGTCCAGTATTCGAAGAGAAAAGCGATTTTTTAAAAATGATGGAGACAAATAATAACAATAACAACATAATATTGAAACGATCGTTATGTCCACTAAATGTGTCCAATAACAATACCAGCCAGCACAATGCAGGAAAAACCATATACACATTAAAAAAACACTGATGGACCCTGAAATCAAAGACACTCTGATTAGAAGCCAAATGACCCCTAGAATCCGGTACATTAAACTAGCTATTACAATTTGCTACCCAATAGAACGATCGACAGTGTTACAGCGCACCCAGTGTCTTCAGTGCCAAAATACCAAATATGGAAACAACATCAAATGACATCATTTAACAGATAAAACAAGGGTCGTCACAGATGTAAGGCTTTAAATTGAACGTACCATTGTCTAGCTGAATTTTAATTTGTTGAAATAAGCAACTCACTTACCAGAAATGAAAAAGAAAACAACGTCCGTAGCCCTTCGATCAACGTGAGTAACAACGATTTATCGAATAGCACGACAAAGTAACTGAGCAAGAGCGATACAGATCAGTTTCAGAACTCCTAGATAAGTGGTCCAATGTTATGGACCGAAAGGTTGAATTTGAAATTTCGCGCGAACCACTGCAGCGTGAGGTATTTCTTTTGAAGTCTGCTAGACCGGTTCCAGTGGACATGTAATCACTATTGGCCGTAGACTTTGTTCTAGCACTTGCAAATTTTTAACAATGTCTGAATCAGGCAAGATCGTTTTGATGAGTTGCATGGTCAATTGTTGGAAAGAAATGATTGCTGGTGCCCAAGCACCCTCGGAAGTCGATACCCTTGTGGTCTACTTTAGTTGGAAACGTTCTGCTTGTAAAAAAAAGTCTTCATACCTTGGTTTCCCGCAATCCTTAGTGCAAAATTGTTGTGTTTTGCCGTAGTATTGTGGGCACTAATTGCTGTTACCCCACCTCTAGGTTGATATAGCTGTCATAGTGGGCATAGCTCTTACTCTTTCGACTTTGTCTGACAGAATAGCAAATTCTTCTTTATATTCGTAACGGAACTCGTGCTTACGTTTACCCATTGTCTAAATTATAGTTTTTCCCCAAAAGCAGTAGGCCTATCTCTTAAACTAGCAGTACCGGTAACTGTGTTACAGTTTGCCTGAAAATACCTCAACCCTACCCTCAACAGAAACAGGCCGTTCTGAAAGAGAGAGCGAGACCGAGACATGAGGTCGCTGTGGAGCGTGGACAAGTTTAAGTGAATGAAGCAGTTGAACGTTTTGAATATAAAAGTTAAACAGGCTGTAAACACAAAATTAATTATTAATTCTCGTCTCGTGCTTCAGCAATTTTGTCTCCACTTGAACTCAAGGTAGAAATAAATGCATCGCTTACACATATACAAACTTGAAAAAGGTTTGAATAGGCTGCAGATTCGATTTTATGAAGCTCACGGTGAAGATGAATGATTATGTTATTGATTGAAAAAGTAAGAAATACTGTATTTTTAAGTGCCGCTAGACGTCATCGTTTACTACGTTATGTTGTGAACATTCTTGAAGTACCTCATTCGGTTAGTGAAGCTTGTTACCCTATATAATTTTACCCTAAAATATTACAAAAATAAGCACATTTCATACAATCATCGTCGTGCCAAATCGTAGAATCGCAAAAACATTGTTGCTCACGCATGATTTGGCTTCAACCTGAAAGCCAAACAATAGCACACGTTCAATAGAATTGGGCAGGAGATAGCCTACAAGGTTCATGATCCAACAAAAACAACGCTCCAGATGTTAAGGCAGTGTAGACAATCTGATTTTTTATAAGCATTTCTTCCTCAATATTATATTTTTTCATATGTCGCCAATGTTAAGATCATACAAGCAATCAATAATTATTTGAAAACAACTCAGAAATATCCAAAATCCTACTTGCTTTTTCGATTTGAATTATATTCTAGATTCTTGAATATGAGGAAAGGTAAAATTGATATATTGGTGTATTATCGTAAAACACAAAATTTGATAGTTTGGTTAGTTTTTTTTTTCGCGTACCACGTTAACGTTCATTTTATGTTAAAACATCAATTTTAAACAATGATTACTCACAAAATTATTCTTATAAATGTGATTTATCTATTTACATATTCGCTTGTATTTCAATTTTGGACCTCCTGAAGTATGCGCACCAAGATGGCGCACAATCTGAACTCAGGTTGTGTACCAGGTGAGGGTTCAGGTCGTGCGACATCTTGGTGCGCATACCTCAGGGGCACCTTAATTTTTCTAATCTGTTTGTGATAAATCTATTGCAACTCAAAGTTGTAAAACATAAAAATGACAAAACGTTCACACTGCATTGAAAACAGCTATGTTAGTTTGCAAGAATTAGGTTAGATTTTTCCTAAAAAAAATTTTTCTTAACAACAACAAGACTAACAACAACGATTTAGCAAAATAGTAGCTAATGTTATTTTACACATAATTCGAAGATTGTATGATGAATGGATAAGAACCCAAATCCGTTAATATATTTTGCATTCATCAGCATTGTTGGATAGTTTTGTGTTTAAAGTAATTTTATAATTTTACACACAATCAAGAATAGGTTGATTCGTTTTCTGATTGTAGAAATGTGCTGGACATCCCGGACACGGAACTCGACAATGAGCTCCAGGATATTTTGGACAAGTAGTACCAAGGCATCCTCTGCTACAACGGTCAATCAAGTTTATTCCAGGCTGACAAGTTGCTAGAATAAAAATAAAAATACTTCGTAATATGTATTAACAATTACTCTGCATCTGTTTTGATGCAAGCAGTATTTGAGGTAGATCTTCATATTTTAAATATCATCTTTGAACATTATTATATTGCAAAAAAATAGGTATAATATGATCTAAGAAAGAAATATTTATATCTTGCTATTTCTGGACAAGCCATTAATAAAAATTATTTTTTTATCCGAAATTTGTGTTTTTTCTCGAAATAATGATGTCAAAAGAGTTGATTTTGAGATTTCTGACATTGAAATCACCAAACCTTGTGTTACCACGAATACGAATATAATATAATAGTTCCAGGTTAATGTAAATGTATTTTTGTATTCAAATGTATTTTTCAAATTTACCGCTGCTCTCTAATGAAACAAGGTTCTATTATTCAGATGATATGAATAAAAAACTAAGATTTGAAAAAAACTTAGAATACGGAGTGCATTTTAACTACCTTGTCTTTTGCATGGTACTCTTCGTCCAAATCTATCGAAAAACTGCAAATAGCATATTGGCCCACAACCGTACACACGACACTCAGCTTGTGGGAAGTTTGCACATCCAACTCCGTTGCACATATATCCACCACACCTTGGGTTTGGTGGACTATTCGGTGGACAATCACCTGAGTATTACAGAAAAAAAACATGAGGAAATTATAAACTTGAAATATATTTTGTTTGATAGAGCATTATTGTTTCAGAATTTCTACACAAAAAGGTGGACTGATTTCAGTAATGCAATCAATGTTCATGTAAAGAATCATATAAAATGTTCCATGGTAGACCGCAAAATAAATAAATGCAAATGACAAAAGAAAAATCATGAATAATCCAATACGATAAAGATATTTGGAAAATAAAAATACTAACATTGGCTTGCAATATCCTGTCTGAGATTGGATGGATTAAAGAAATGTTTTTTACATCCATTACAACTTGTTCTGCACACCGCATTGAGAAACGTTGGACAACTTGTTCTGATACATGCGTTAACGTAACAACTTGGACATACAGGCCTATATACCGGACGCGGTTGTCTGTTTGCACCGGCAAGCAAAAGAGCAAGGACTGTTCTTTTATTCAGATCTGAAATGATTTTAAATGATATAAAATGAGGTTTGAAATATATGTTGTATTAATTTTATGTTAAATTTAAAAGAATAAACATCTTATAAACTAATATTAAAACATTTTAAACGCATTGTGAAATACATGGTTGTGGTGTTTTGAAAATTTGATTTGATGTTCAGAAATCTTCCATCGATTGCACCAACTGCTACAAAATTATTTTTACTCACTTAGCAATGGCTTTTTAGGATCGTCCTTAATTTTTTTACATGTTAGTCCGCATGGACTCTTACAACAAACTTCCGATTCTTCGCAATCAGAATTTGTTTCACAATTATCCACGCAAATTATTGGTGCCATAGCATCGTCACATTTTGGATCGAAAACTAAAAAGCAATGAATATGTCAATATCAACTAGACAGATATGTTTATAGATTTCATTAATCGAATGTCAAATAGAAACTCTAGCATCTGTTATTAGCGGATAATATTTGATAAAATAAAATATTGAGTGTTTTTAATGAGTCGTGTCGTCATGCAAGTTGACATTAATTGACAATTGAAATAGGATGACAATTGAGTCTATTAATTGCAAATTATGGTGATATATCCGATAGAATATAAATAAAAAAATTTGTATGTGTAATCTTTCATACCCTGTTGAAAAAGTACTTTTATTTCAAATTGTACTCAATAACAGAAGGACTTACGTTTGCATTCTGGAACTGGACTTGACCATCGTCCATTAGCCCGACATGTTATTTCATCTTCTCCGTAAAGTGTCAAAGGAAAATTGCATTTGAAACTGAACATATAAATGCGATATTTGGCAAAATGTTTTAACGCCTCTTCGGAATAGTAAGTAAATTCAGTAGAATGTAACATGCAAAAATAAAAACTATCTTCCCATAAGTAAATCGAAACATATATACTGACGTGCATTCACTTGAATACTCCATTCGTCTGAACAATCAACAATCCCACCTTCTAACGATAATGCTGGGCAGTAGACGTCTAAATACAAGATTTATTTGTTATATTACACAAAGTCAATATATAGCCAGAAGCAAAATATCGATAGTCGACACATCTATATACGACATCTCACCCCAAAAAGCATACACCATTTTACCTAAACATGTTGGTTCAATATCATCCCACATTGCATCTTTTTGGCAAGTTAATGTTTCTGATCCCTTCAATTCGTAGCCATCGAAGCATATGAAACTGAAACAAGGCATAATTCGAAATAACAAGAACCTGGCGCGTTTGAATTACGATTCCCTGATTGTATTCAACAATTTTAGTAAGTCGCTCCTAATTTCAAATTTAAGTTTTATATATTTGAATCACTTTCATGCAGAAAATGCATTGTGGGTTTGTCGAAATTTTGGGCCTAGCCACATGTGACTGAGCAAGAAGCATGGGGAGTCGCCGATTACATTTTTGATTGCTAAATTGTTATCCTACGAGGCGATGAATCCCGATTATAAGACTTAAGTTATATTACTATTTCTACACTAGCACCAGAATTGTATTAGAGTATTACTATTTCAGTATTCAAAACCTTTGACTCAATTGAAAAAATACCTGCAAGTACTCGGGTAACCGAAACCGGGAGGATTGCAAGTCATTTTTCCAGGTTGATTGTTGAAATCAAGGTCGGAACAAATAATTCCTGAAATACGAAACTATGTTTAACAATTTTCTTGACGAGATAATTCAATTGTTTTGTACCTGGTGATATAACTACTTACTTGAACATTCGAGAGCAGGAACACCCCACTGTCCATCAGCCATGCACTGGGATTGCGCATTTTTCACTTTGTAACCCAAATTGCAGATGGCGCTGAAAGCATACAACTCATGGAATAAATAATTTCAATGTATTGTTATGTATCGTACCATAATTAGGCTATCGCCAAGTTGCATGAACTAAACAACTATGAGTTGTTCCAGTTTCATATATGGCAATCGAACACTGTGTGTCCCTGAAATGACTACCACTATATATCAGTGTCGCTCGCGAGCAACATTTGATCTATGAGTACCACTACGTATAGCGTAGCAGAAATGATTCAGACGTACACTTGGTAAACATCATTTTTGTCACGCCGTTTCAATAGTTGTCGTCGATTTTTTATTTGATTAACAAGAATTGTCCGTGTTTTAATTTGTGTTAAAGCAAAAAATGAATTATTATTCCACCTTTGAAAGTATTATAATGCCGCTACCGTTGATATTACAGAATCGGAGTTTTTTTTATAGCAGATATCGTAATTGACGTTTATGCCGGTAGGGCACACCGCATTTTGAATTTTGTTGTCTACCTGAGACTGAGTTGGCGTGAACAAGAACAACTTTTTGCTTCTTGACGACGATATGTGAAAACTACCATCTAGAAAGATAGTTCTTCCAAAACGAAGATGAGAGGGAAGAATATGACAATAAATACTGGGCTGTTATTTCTGACGTGACTGAATTGGTATTGGTTTATCTCAAAAAAATAAATAAAAATGGTACTCCAGTAGTATGTGAACCAAGATGGCGGACACCGGAACTTGTATGTGTACCAGGTTAGGCCATAATTTTATTCTAATTTTAGTTCTATTACGAGTTCGGGGACTAGCCAAGTCTCTCCCGTAGTATTTGTACCTAGAATTATAGCCCAATCCTCACCTGGTATACACATACCACGTTCCGCTGTCCGCCATCTTGGTTCACATACTACGAGAGTACCAAAAAAATGAATAACTAGTTAGACTCACAAGCATGTTTTTTGATATGTTGTACCATCACACATAGACTGCCCGTTTAGAACATCTGGATACGATCCGCAGTCAACAGCTGAAAAAACAACGTAGTTTAGTTAGATCATGGAAACGTAGATGATATCAATGATATTCAATTTAATTATAGGTTTATGAAAATGGATTCTTACGTTGACATGACGTTGGCATACTTCCAGACCAATCTTGATCCGCCTCACAAGTCATTGTCAATCCTGGTACGTCAGGCTCGTAACCAGAAGGGCACTCAAAACTACAAAAATAAAGAAATTGACATACCATTAAGAATAATATCATTTTCAAAAATAAAGAAAATTCAAATGCAAATATTTGCAGTTACTAAAATAGGTAAATTTAAAGACTCTTTTATCAATAAAAAAAAAAAAAAGTAAATTGACATGCGCAACCTCACATCTGAATATTAAAACTATGGCGCAAACGAACATGTAGAAAGCAGAGCAACAAGAATGATTTAGATCTTCAAACAAGTTTGAAAAGCACCCGTATCGAAGGCATTTACATAGTAAAATATTTTCCCGTTACCTGCATACAGTGCCGTAAACAATTGAGTCCGATGGATTGCAAACAACGGATCCAGCAGGAAAAGTTAGCAACGAGCACATTAGAGCTGAATAAAAAGCATATATATATGGTGGGAATAATGGTGGGGGGAAAAATTGAAAGCAGAAACAATTTATATATTTTCTCATCCATAAATATCTGATCAATAAAAATGTTTGGTCTCGATCAAATTAAGTTCGGCTAAAAATAAAACGTTTAATATAATGACCGTATAAAGTTCAAATATAAATAATGATATCATAAACTTTAACTGCACTGTTTTGGAAATGATTTCTTGTATATTATATTTTAAGCGGATGGTATAAAACTCACCTCCACAAACTGGCATGATTCCAGACCATTGCCCATCTGCTTGACAAAATCTTATAACATCACCCGATATTTTTGCTTTACCCAAAGGACAGGAAAAACTAGAAACAAAAGACGTTTTTAACAATATTTCCAATATTAGGTTTATAATCGTAATGATTTAATGAGGTCAAGTATGTGTGTAAATAATCTCAAGATTTATCCATTACCCTGTGCAAACTTCAATTGGCATCCAACATAGTTTCTCATTTCAGCTGCTTACTTCTAATGGATTTGTTTAATAAAAATTGCATATTATGCGGTTTTAAATAAAATCATTGAAATAGAAACAGAAGAAATTAAAATGAATAACAGGAAATCATATTACATTGGGAACTGTCATTTGCGATATTTTTTTTTATCAAAAACGCAGTTTAACACGAAAATTGAACCTACACGCAAGCTGTATCGAATTCAATGCTATTTTCTGGTATGCATTCGATTGTTCCTTCGAAAGAAAGCTCAGAGCAAGTGACAACTGAAATAAATAAATAATTAAAGATTTTGAACTAAGATTAAAGATAGCTACCCGGTATAATACAAACAATCGAGCTCAAACATCCAGTATTCAAAATTGATTTCGAAACCTTCAAGATTCAAAAATATTTATCCTCCGTTATTGACAGAAAATATTTAAAACATTTACCCTAGAGACAAACTGTTTACTCTTATTTGATTAAATTAAAATATTACATTAATTTTCTATTATATGCATTTAAATTGGACCATTAGATGAAAAGGCAATTTATTAAATTAATCAAATCGCAGCATTGTAATTAGTGTATTCGGTGTGGGCCTTTGCATAGTATTCACAAGGTTACTTTTTTGTATAAGTTATATATCGTACCTTTGCAAAACTGCTCTGCTTGTCCGGACCATAAACCATTCTCCTCACAACGTCTTGATGTTTGACCTTCTAGCGTATATCCCGAATCGCATTCGAAACTCAAAAAAATACCATTTGTTATCAAAATATATTTTAATGACAAAAAACTTGATTCAGATCTATTTTTTTTTCCATAGGACTTGGATGAAATATCACAAACAAATGCCGATAGGGCAACAAAAACACCATCTACCGCACTCCTCAAGTATTCGAGTAGTGCTGTTTCCACGTTACAACAACGGCCTGAAACTTTCATTTGCAATATGATTGCCAAATCGTGTAAATATCGTTCAAAAGTTTTGAAACTTATGTTTTTCCTCACATTATCACAGAGGGGAACAAAATTATTTCACTATCGCAAATATCATACACCAGGACTTCCCAAACTAGGGACCGTGGCCCTGGAAGGGCCCAAAAAACGAATTTTCGGGGCCGCAAAGAGAACACCAAATTTACACAAGGTACTATATTTATTATACTTTTTCAGACTCTTGATTCGAAATACAATCATTAAAAATAGTGTAAAACAAAGATTTCACGATTCCGAGCGAATACATCATCATGCCGTGTTTCCCCGAAAATAAGACAGTGTCTTCAATTTTCTTCCGAAAATAACACTAGGGCCTATTTTGGGGGGAAGTAGAGAATAATGATATTTTTTAATATACAAAATATGAATCCCAATTTTCATTTACTTATATATAGCACGTTTTGATTATAATAACTATGGTAGAAAACCCTGCTTTATATAAATACGAAATCGCAAATGGTATAGGAGTGCGCAACGATTCTTGAACCAAGGAAAAATATTCTTTATCCACTGAAAACCGAATTTTCAGAATTAAACTTTTTCATTATAACACCATCACAGGCAAGATCAATTTAATCTTCCCCTTTTTCAGTAAAAGTAGAAGATATGGGTTGGTTGAAATATTCACGAATCGCGAAATTTTACGACACCCTAGCAAAATTGAAACGACGAACTTCCACGGGACTAGTTAAAAAAAATTTGCGCTATCGACCAAGTCTTTTTTATAGGGGAGAGCTTATATTAAAATAATTTTTAAAATTCAGGCTTGGTCTTATTTTTGGGGAAACGCGGTAGAATCATCGCGCTCGCATTAAATGCATATTTTAATCGTAAGACCGGATTTGCGCGTGCTTGCAGAACAATGCCGGCTTCAATCATTAAGCTAGCGGTTCCCGGAGGCGATTTGCCAAGTGCGCCTCGAAACATTTCACATATTTTTTTTATTGTAAATGTTTTATTGTTTCTCATTGTTGCAAATGATAAGAATGATCAAATTCATTTTACCGTTCTATGTTGTTTACTTTCTGTTACGTATAGGGTCTATTGTAACGTAACAGAAGAGGTAAACCCTACATGCTGCAATTTCGTAGGCTGTATTTATTCATTTGCTGAACTGAGTTTATCGAACGTGAGTGATTTTACAGCATTTTAAAGAAAAACCAGGCAGAGGTAAAATCGAACTGTTAACCTTCTGCCTTTATTCCTTGGGCCTACATGTTTGTAAACCTCAAAAGGCATAAAGTACATATCAACGATGATTGTGTTTTATTTTAGAGCAGCATATTTTTCGTGTAGGTGTGTTCACTCTGATAATTTGGCGCCGCACTGCCTTATACTAGTTTGATCAGTAAGAGTGAACAATTCCGGATGAGGACCACGCCGTCGGTGGCCAGACATCGTAATTCATCATTTAGTCCTGCATAAATAAACATTGAGCCACGGCTTGACTGGCTATGCAGCAAATAGCATTTGCACCCATTAGGCTACACTGAGTAACGTTAATCTGAGTAAATATATATATGCTTGTTTTTGTTATTGACTAGACCTAAAAAAAGTTGGGAAATAATAAAAAAATATCGAAAATGCATATTTTGAACTGCATTATTAACGTGAACAAGGGCCGCGAAAAATTGTAATATATTAAAAGCGTCCGCGAGCTCAAAAGTTTGGGAAGCCCTGTCATACACCACAGAAAAAAACGAATAATAATAAAAAAATATTGTTGATGCATACTTGCATACAGTGTCAATTTGTGCGTCCATTTCATTATCACAGCCAGTGATTTGACCATTGGGATCATCAAACACCAGCGCTTGACAAGTAACAACTGCAAAATCAATCAATTATGTGTTAAATTTAGTGCCTGATGATATTACCATGTGCGGGGAAGGCTAGCATTATCCTGAAACTTATATCAATAACAGATTTGTACACATTGTCAATGTATATTTTGATGTTAACAAATATATATTCCACGAAATAGTAGGATATGCACGACTGACCAAAAGGCTTGGCGGGCATATCGGCTTGCTATAGTTTTATTACACTCTGAATATGAACTTATGCATTTTCGCAATTTATTAATTAGGTTTAAAAGTGTATATTATCGAGTTGTAATCATTCGAAAATATGTAGTCGGATTGACATCAAAATGCGATAATCGATTTTACTTATTCACGTTCACTATGTGCTGAATAGTCTCTCTATATCGTTTGATTATAAAATATATCATACCTTTACACGAGTGATCATCAGTGCCGCTCCATGATCCATCCTCCTGACATGTTCGAGTTTCATCACCTTCCAATACATATTCTGGATAACAAACATATCTGCAAATTTGAGTAATCATTTTGTTTAAACTTGAAATTTATTTTTCATCACTTCAATTAGCGATTTTATCTGAAAAAGTTTACACTGGTTGTGAAAACATTTTGAATTGAAAGGGCATATTTGTATACGTTCCCGAAAAGCTACCTAGCTGCACTGATCTCACAAATAATCAAACTATATTTCATCCTTCAATCTTGGATGTCTTCAATCTTCGACTATTATTCGTTTGACATTTAAACAATACATAGCAGTGTATTATTAATTATTCAAATTGAACACATAGAGATGATATCGCAAATTTATTAAACATCTTGAATTGAAGTCATAAAAATCTACCAAATCTCATAAAAATAAGTAATTGGAGAAGTGCGATAAACTCCCCTTTACATGGAATACAGATATAAAATTGAACCATTTTTGACATAGTGTGGATTTAATCTTCCGATTAAAGCCCTTTTATAAACATATAATATTATTATCCTTGACCTTCTCAGTCTTGTTAGAATTTTTAGATCCAGAAAGTTTTCCACTTGATGGCATCGGATATATAACAATGTTATTTATGTGACTAAATGTTGTAAATTATTATTTATTGGAGAAAAAAAAATGGATATGATATCTTTCACTTTAAAAGTTCGCTTGTAATTCGTAACATTGTTGTGGCATATATATATTTAGTAAATTTACGTTACTGACAACATGCTAGAACATAATCATAATATCATCATCTTGCATATACATACCGGCATACCGTACCGGCCGGAGGTTCATTGCTGTTTTGACAATCGGTTATCATTCCATTAGGATCAGGAAAGGATATATCAGAACAAGTGACAGCTGGAATAAATATTTATTTTATTCAGACAGAGTCGCAAGGAGTATTGTGAAAGATCACTATTTTAGCCAACAAAAATTCGGGTCATCGTGTACTGTGTAGGCCTACAGCTTGCCCTTGAGGGATTTACATGATATTCGATTTTTTATTGTCCGATCTTGTACGCTAGAGCTTAGTACTCAACTCTGATATATACTATTAATTAGTATAATTTTTAATTTTGATTTTTACCAAGTATAAAAGTTCCGTCTAACACAACAGGGTGCTGTGGCGGTTTCATGCAACTCTCTTTACTTTAGACAAAGTAGTATGACGGGTTAATCTACAAAAAAAAGCATATATCTTGCATTTATACAACAATAAAAAGATTGTTAGTCTTACGTTCAGCAACTACTTCACAGACAAATGATTTTTCATAGGTACAAAAGTGATCGTTCCATATGTTTGGTGTTGATATAGTTTCCACGCATCTCTCGCTGTTGCTATTGGGCTCATTAAACCCCCAATGTGTGTAAGAGAAAACTGTTCCATCGGCCCATTGCCAGCCGGCTGTTCGTGTCTGAACTGGGGATATAATATTATTTGAATTTTTTGCTTTTTATTATGTAAAAATATTTAGGTAACCGTTTTGGGTATTTGTGAGATCATGCGCATCATTAAAATCGAAGTCTTTGCTAGGTGATTGGCGTTCTATATCAGTGTTTCCCAACCTTTCTACGCTGGCGGTCCGGTAAAATTAGATAAAATGTGCTCGCGAACAGGCAAAAAATGAAATGACTGGAACAGAAATCGATAACTTATTTGCGTAATATAGTGCAATTTTGGGCTTTCACTATGCTTCTAGAAAATGGGGCACACCTACAAACATTTCACATGAAGAAAACTATCAAATAATGTGCCGGCCATAAATTGGGATGGGTGGAATATACAATATTAACATATATCTGCGTAATAAAATGCAGTGCTAGGCACCCATTATTCGTAGAAAAGTTGCTAACTTGGCACCAGGCTCAAAATCCTGCTGTGCATGACATGGAAAAGATTTCAGGCATGCTTTTGTTGCGCATCTCGTGACCACCTGCAGGATCACGCAACAAGTTCATATCTTGCTGGCGGTTGGGAACCACTGTTCTATATCAATCAAGGCACAGAAATGGACAACATTTTAACATTTCTGGCTTAACTTTGCATAATACGACGCAGTTGTATACGTAAAAATTTAATTATTTATAAATGCCCAGTGGCAATTTCAATTATTAATATTTTCAACAAAATAATTGGTAAATTTTGACAACGTTACCTGTTTCGATTGAAAATAATCCAATCCAATATGAAATACCCGAGGGCATTAATTTGTTAACGAATGACTGTTCTGTTTCTGAATTGATGCTAACAAGATAGCCGTCAAGTGAGACACAAAAATCCCTTGCAGCAATGTGATTTCGTTCGCTGTAGAACAAAAAATGCTGTGATTGTAAATAGAATCTCGTGCGCCAACGTTTAAATGTCTTGTAAAATTCACGATAAAAGTGAAAGAGGCTAAAATTTCACAATTTTTGATTGATGTCATATATATAAAAAGATAGCCAATGAGTTGTAGCTGCAATAGACGACAAGTAGGCTATCTTCAAATAAAAATTCATGTAAATGATTTTTAGTTCATTACAGAATACATTCTATATACGTCTCTTGTTTAAATAAATCATTGCTATAAACATTTCTATAAGAATACTTACCCGCCCAAACTAACAGCGGGACCAAATGCTTTATAACACTTCCCTTCAAAGAGTGCCCAACTTTCGTCTTGACAACGTCCTGGAACTGAAAAGTACAATATTTTAATAACAAAACTTAACAGCATTTGCTGTTGTGATTTATTTTCTATAGTTTATATGTTAGTTAGCTAAATTTTTCCATGTTTAATTATCGTGTTTGTGTGCTGTAAATAAAATGATAAAGACCTTGATTCAAAAAAGTTTGAAACGCCGTAAAGAAAGAAAAAAAAACAGTTAAACTACTATCTGCAAAGAAGTTCAATGAGAGCACACTCACGTATCATGATTATTTTTTATGTAAACCGGTAATTTAAACGAAATCTCTTTCAGCAAACGCTTTTGGCAACTTCGTCAGAACCTACGTTGTCATATATATTTCATTAGAACTGACTTTAAGTTAAGAGTTAAAAAAGAATAACAATATATATATAACAATGTAAAATTCCCGTGGTTTTCGTAAGACTAATTTCAATTGGAACTTTTCTTACCTGTTCCCGAAATTCTGTTAATTTGCGGTAATGTTACCGCAAGAAAAAGCACGACTTCCAAAATCTTCATGACTTCTAATTCAGCTTTGCCAATTTAAACTGTAAGCTCAGGAACCGGTTTCAAATATTTGTTACTGGTTAAGCCTACAAAAAATTAATTAGCTTGAGGCTAAATAGGAAGCACTCGTTTAGTAGGTAAGCAGATTGACGGGTTTCTTTTTTCTAGTTTAGTGTGATTAACACCTAGACCCGCGGGCCACATGATGTGACATGCAGCATCATTATCAGTGACCCGCGTCACATTTGCTGGGGGTTAATCACAAAATTGCTTTGGTGTTGTTTTGTCCTGAAAATAACCAGAATTCTCTTCTGACATATTGTTACATCGATAATGTCACTGGATTGACTAGTTTTATGCCTAGCTGAAACAAACAGCGAAGTTGAATACTGTGCTTGGTTAACCTAAATTGGACTTCTTTATTTCGGTCGCGGAAGTACGCTAATAATAAAGGCTTTATAGAAATCTGAAAATCAAATGGGGGATCTATTATCCTAGGTTGGATATCCCTACTGGTATCTGTTATGGCAGTGGTCGGTAAACTTTTTGTACTTGCGGGCCGAATATCAACTTTTTTTGATAGCGCGCGGGTCGCAATATTTTCGCTTTGAACAATCGCCACATTAAACTTCAAATTATGGCGCATTTGCACCTTTCATTGCCGCGTTGAAAGCCTGCCACAATGAGTTGTGTATGTGGCGTGTTTCAATATATTATCCAACAATGCATTGTTATTAACTTATTACCAATGTGCAGGATGATGTTTTTATGGCAACTTGCCCCAACTTTATTCCAAGTGTAATGCATTTTAGATAGAGCTGCTCACAGCAATATGTGCTTCCGAACGTGTAGATTACACTTCTGTACTGTCGCACAGATGAGCTGTTTCGAGGTCGAATTTTCGATGACACGTGTATTGCACGTTTGGACGTGCATTTGCACTTTAGAAAGTTCTACCCTCGTCGCAAACTTTCCTCAGTTTCTCAGGTTATTTCAACCGGTAATATCACTTTGTACAATGCTTTTTTGACAATTTTCCCCATCACCAAATACGAGTGATGCATCACTGTTCAAATATTTCACTTTCTTTATCATGTGGGGGGTGAGCCTGTTGATATAATTAGATAACCATTTAGCACCACATACCGTCCTGCTACATGCAGTGTCAATGATTACACATCCCACATTATTGGCAACAAAGACATCAAAATCGACATATTTTGCTATAAAAGTTGTACTCACATCATCTTTTTCTTCAGTAATTCTGGCCTTATCTTTGTGTGGGCAATCTCTGACCCAGTGAAAGCTTGAACCAAAAATAACACATTTTGTAATTGTGCCATCTCTTCTTCTGGGGTTTGTGCCTCTTTCTCTGCGTCTTTTTCTTCGATTATTGTTTGATGTCATTTTCTTTGATGTACTGCTTAGTTCTGCAACACAGTTGGCTCAGTCTTTACAGCAACCACAGTATTAACTTTATTAAAAGTACTTCCAAATATTCTCCGTAAGGAAGCTTTAACGATGTTATATTCAAGTTTACTAGATGCTGTCAATATGAGCTGACGTTCTTGTTGAGAAAGAGCAGCACTCTCAAGTCGTTTGTAGGCTTGAATGGAGTTTGGTAACTGCATGTCAT